CATATTCTCGCACCGCCTTTAAAGCATTACCGTTGCAGAAACCGTATACAAAAACCATATCAGCATATTCACTATTAGAATACGTACGCGGCATATTGCAAAAGACAAAATTCATCTACTGTTAAAGGCTTTCAAAGAGCGACTGACAAATTCATAACAGAAAGTGGAAAATGTAATCAAATATGTCGGTGCTAGATATGGCAAGAAATGTAAACATTTTTTTTCGATTTCTCTGAAACGGAGCAAAAACGAGCATATGTCTATAGGACTTTTTTTCTTAGTTTTTTACTCCTCTACACGCTCCCGAAGTTTTGCGATTTAATTTGGAAACACCCATTTTATTTGTATGTATAATATTATACAAATAAATCTTTTTAGAATGTGAAGTATCTACTGAAAGCGAAAGACATTTCTAAAGAAACAAAATATCATTATATATTTAAATATGACATTATATTATATACGTTCACATTTAATTCGACTGACCTCTTGAGAATTATTCATATCAATACGGACTTTTCGAGAAGACGTATCCTGAAATCATGTTAGAAAGAATAAATATATATTAAAACTGTGACATATGTACAAATAAAATTACTATATATATTATTTTATGAAGGTTTATGTTAGAATTTACTGTTATATTAATTTAGAAGCGAGGCAATCATGTTGATGTACATTCTTGTTTTTCATAGATATTGTATAAAATAAATATTTACTTTAAACATATTACTGTAATGATAAATTGCATACTAATTCGTGAATGCATAATTTATTTACTTAAAATCTAAATATCTCATAATTTATTGATTTGAAAGTGTATCTTTCTAGATTTATACTTTAGTATCGATGTCATTTCATACAGATTATAAAAAGGAAATAATGATTGAAGTATAGAAGTTTATGTTTACTTTACTTCGTACATTTGTTTTAAAAAATTCTTATCAGACAATATCAACTTTTGTTAAAAAATATTTAAATTTGTAAGAGATACCTTGATGCAGTAATTTAAATTTATTTCATTTTATTTCAAGAATGAATCATTAATATTATCTTGAACATGTGACAGAATAAACATAAGTGTTATAATTCAATCTGGTAAATCGTTATCTTTACATGGAGGTGACAATTTTCTAGCAGTCTGTAGAATTTTTTTATCAATATTCTTTATATATTTATATCGACCAGTTTGAGTATCTACGCGAGGTCGAGATTGGCTGTGTAGATTAAGCAATCTATTTGGTAACTTTGTATTAATCGTTGATAAACTTCGTTTGCCACAGTTTAATAAGATCTCAGAATCATCGTGCAAAAATGCAAAATCGTTCTTTCGCTGTGCGGATATATGTAGGAGGCTTGATACTGGAAATTGCTCAGGAGACTCGTGGGATGATTTCATTTTAGTAATAGCAACGATACGATTATTAGAATTATACTTGCAAGGTCGGAACATGGGTAAAGGAAGATGAGTCTTCTACAAATGTAGAAAATTGTAGATTTACACTGAAAATTTTACAAATATCCGTCTCTACCTCTAAAGTTGTTTGCTTCAATCCTTTACGCATTTCTTTAATCAAGTCGTCCTTTAAAAGATTACCCATATTGGCATGATAATTTTGTTTTTCCAATGCCACGATTTCCGCCGTCAATGTGTCTTTTGTTTCTGCAGCTTCCTAAAACCAACAAAATATATCTATAAAAATAACAGTATGTATATACATACATATATATATAATTTAAAAGAGAATCAAAACAATTAGATATATTATGATTAAATATATAAATAAAACTTATATCGATAACAGAATTATACACAAAATAAAAATTTTTAAATATAACAAACTAACTTTTTCGAGGCGAGCCACTTTATCCTCCAATTGTTGAACTTTCTTACATTTTTCTTCCAGTTGTAGTTGTAGATTAATTGTATCAACATTGTTTTCGTAAGTATATACCATAAGTTTAGATTCAACATCTTGGAGTTGTCGATGTAAATTCTTGTTTTCCCTATCTTTCGCATCTAGTATACTTTCCAGAATGTCAGGTGTTAAGATAATCTGAACAGCAACATAGATTTTAAAAGACTTTTTCAATCTTTAATATTGGAACACGCACAAGCTACATTTTGTATCTTGCTTATAAAATGTAAAGCTTAGCGAACAAAAGCAATTATTATAATATATCAGAGTAGTTCTTTCTTTACAATTTTTATGCTACAACATGATTGCCTCCAAATTATAGAATATATAAACTTTACAGGAATCAGTACCCGAAAATTAATCCAAAAACTCATTAAAATAAATTTCCATTTGCATAATAATTATAAAAAAATGCACTTACATTGCAATCTTGATCAAAAGCTAGTGGATAACTAATAACTTGATTCGCTTGTTTAGCATGTTCCTTAAGTTTTTCACAAAAACACTGAAGTCTAGAAACATATTTTTTTATGGTATCGTCCTTTATTGATAATTCTGTTGTAAGATCTGCTATTTTTCCTTCCAGTTCTAACTGAGATCTGGAAAACATGTTTATATATGTTAAAAAAAAAGTTATAAATATGAATATATATAAAAATTTAATAACAAAAATAAAAAATATACGAATATAATAAGAACAGAATTATATTTTTATTTATAAAAGTATGAAGATTTAAAGTAAAGATAATAATTGTAATATCATGAATATTTCAAAAGTAATAACAATATTTTACATATATATACATATATATAAAATTTGCATATCTTACCTGATCACTTTTCTTTCATTTTCCTGAAGTTGTTCTATTTGCAGATTCAAGGATTTTATATGATCAGTATCTGTCTGCTCCTAATTTGAAAATATGTATAATTAAATGTAATACTAAAATATTAATATAACAATTAAGATTTCTCGAAAATATAATACTTCAGCAAATGGGGCTACTGGCAATTTATTCAACACGAAATATATGCATATATGTGTATGTGTATATGATAATAATTCAATTTAATAAAGGTGTAGGGAGATAAGAAAAACTTTTTAGCTTGTATTGTGAATACATGGTACAGTATTACATGCTTTTGCTTAACAGACAACTTGATCTCTGAAATTTATCATGTTCTATGTCTAAAACAAATCGGAGCTTTCTGGCTGCATTTACACACATATTTACCTGATTGCAGATACAGCTGAAACAGTACAAAAAATTTTGTCTTAAATACTTTACAACAATGCAAGATATAATGCCAAATATCATATGTTAACCTTCCACGTGGTCCAACGTTTTTTTCACTACTTTCCTAATCCAATCAGATCACTAGTAGTACCTGATAGAATTTTTAAAAAGTTTTTGGTTACATTCTAAAAATTCTAAAAAAATTTTAATATACTCTTTCAACATTCAAGAGTACAATTTTACAATATGATCCTAAATGTTTCTCAATTTTTTGTATGTGTCCGAATTTGAGGCAGAATAATTCAAAATTGAAATTTTGCCTGGGTCTTCAAATCTCTGGCTAGACCACGGAGGATTAATTGATAACATGATCAACTTACTCTAGAACTGGAATATCCTCAGGTTGAATCTCAAAGAACTTGATACCTTCAAGGCTCCAAATGTTTTGTCGACGCGCACGACGAATCACCTCCAATAATCCCCTAATGTCACTTTGTAAATATTCTATTTTTTGTTGTAAATATTCCTCGTCCTTTTCCAGCTGACTGACGCGATTTGAAAGAGTATTTAAAGCCTATAACATAGAGACGATATGTCTTGATTTAATGATGAGATTATTAAACAAAACTAGATGATCTCTCTTGCCTTTTCCGAATGATCAGATCTTGTTAAATTATCCACGACCATCTGCGACGATTGTTTTAGTTTTTCCTCTAGTAAATTAACTCTACTACACGCAGCCTGCTCTAAATCTTCCACTGTATGTACTAACATCGCGTTTTGCTCCCCTAAATCTTTGATCCAGTCGCTCATCACTTGTAACTTCATCTGTAAAGGAATTTTCTTCATAAATTGCTTCAAACACAAATAAAAAAATAATTACTAAGCGGCAATTAAGAGAACTTAAAGAGTACATATAAAAAGTACAAACAGAATTGGCAATAAATGCAAACTAATAACAAAGCTACTGCTTACAGAGACTCGGTCGGAATCGCCAATAGATTCCCGATCGATCTTTTCGATACGACTCTCGTACAACTTGCGGAATTCATCGAGGATACGTAGACCCTCGGTCTCGCCGCACGACTCGCCAACATCGGCTGTTCTACAGTCCGGGTCTCGCTTAACCAACGTCGGGACGTTGCTCACGTCCGTAGAACTTGGCAAACTGGAGCTGACCGAGTGCATTGCTTTCCGCGAGCACGATTCCCGAGCGATTGCTGACTGACGGATTTAAGGTCTCCCTACACCTGGGTTCGACGAAAACTCGAGCCAATGTCAACACACTATCTCGCCATTTTAGCAACGTCGTCCATGAGTGACAGGCGTAACGAAGAGAGGTGCTCCAGTCAACTCCGATGTTTACCAGGTGTTTACTAGAGGTCCCGTAATATAGGAACTCTAGTAAAAAAACAGCTGGTAACAGCGGAGCATTCATAATAAATAGTTTCTGATTGGCGGCCGCATATGCGTCCATATGAGAACGCCCTTTTCTTACATCATGAGGTCGATTGTGTACCTTGAAACGAGATAAAAATTACAAAAGTAAATAAATTCATTGGATATTGACTAATGAAATTAATATTTGAGTGAATTTGCTCACTTTTATAATTTTCACCTGATACATTATTCTATCATGATCAACTCCCACATGTTTGAATCTATGTATATTTTAAAAAGAACAAAAAAAACCATGTGGTATTAATAATAAATAAAAATTAAAATGATCACGGATTGGAGACAACGAATAATCAGAAATATAATAATTGTAACATATAACTAAAAATTTTCTTTACCAATTCATGCCGAATAATAATGCATACGTTTTTGCGAGGCGCGGTGCAGGCTGAACGGGGAACGGTGAGGCGCGCAGGTTCGGGGTTCGTCTCGTCTTCCCTTCTACCACGGTTCGTCCCGCAGTTCGTGGAGCGCGTTCGCGGGGTACGGGGTACTCGGAGTGTGAGCCAGATAGATGCGCGACGAGGATGGGATTGCCGTGCGGCGACAATGAATCGCGTCGCGAGTCGCGTTCGCGGCCGACCGCGTAGCTCAGGTGCGATCGCAGAGCCGAAAGTAAGGTCGGCCGGCGTAAACGCGGCACCGAGGCGTCGCCGCCTCGTTCTCTGACGAACGTCGATCCTTCACAAAGAGAAAGAGAGAGAGAGAGAGAGAGGGAGAGAGTGAGAGAGGGAAAGAAAAGAGAAAGAGAGGGAGTGAAAGAGGGAGCCCTCCTCTTGGCGGAGAAACGAGACGCAAGGAGGTCCCCGTCGCGCGAGCTGCTTTTTTTGGCGAGCGTCGCCGACATGAGCCAGACGAGCCGTGGACGAGCGAGTCGCGTCACCAGTCGCACGAACTGCCCTGTCAGCTGATCGTTTATCGCACAACGAAATGTGAGGTGTTACCTATTTATCTACCTGTCTATTTACCTACCTAACGTCAAGCCAGAACGTCATACTGCTTCCGCGCATCGCAGCTCCGATTCATCCAGTCGTTTCTCCCCGCGTGCAAACTGAGACTGAGCGCGGACCGCGCGCGCCAAGTGCGACAGGCGGGAAGCACAGGGGCACCTGGCACCTGGCACCGGTTAGAATTTACATGGGAACATGGGGAACAAAAATAGCTGTTGCGTTTACTCCAGTCCACAAGTTGGACGCAAGGAGGTGGGGCCCGAGAGCACCACGCGCAACCTGGAGGAACACCTGCCAGAGGGTGGAATTAGCGTTAATAATTTGCAACATATCAGTGAACGCGAGCCAGAAGACTGGGACTCTGATCCGTCGTTGCACCCATGTGCAGGAACTATCTTCATGGAGCGTTCCAAACAAGCTATTGAAAGTGAGTATATCTTGGAGGTTTGGCAGAAAAGATTGGCTAGTGATACATATTTGATCATTCCTGGTCTCTCTTTTCTAGATGGTATGGTGAGGAAGAAGAGTCAACATCAAATAGCAGATACAAGGCCTTTGAAGAAGAGTAGCAGCTGCAGTACAATATATTTAGATGACAGCACGGTTTCACAACCTAACTTGAAAAATACCGTCAAATGCGTTGCCTTAGCCGTTTATTACCATATTAAGAATAGAACTTCGCAGCGACAGATTGATATATTTGATGAGAAACTGCATCCATTAACGGTAATATGTCAAATTATATAAGAGGTTGTCGAGAGATTATTGAGAGATTGAGATTATTGCTTTCTAGCAAGAGATACAGTGTAACGCAATGATCATTTCATTTTTGTTTAAGGCTGATATTTCATGTGTTGTATAACAAACTTTTTAAGCAGGTTGTTTGGCTATAGAAAAGATTTAAGAATCTCTGTCCTATAGCCAAACAACCAATCAATGGGCTAAAAGTTTACTTTTCCTACAACATATAAAATATTAGGCTAACATTGGCAAACAACAAAGATAAATGTCACTGTGTTATACTGTGTCATCTGTGTTTTTTGTTGGGAAACGTCTAGTATATTAGCTGCTAGACCAGTGATCTATTTCTATTGTTTTGTATTTTCGTATATTTACTCATTTAATGTCAATTACATGACTGGTACAGAAAGAAGTCTTAAGATTTTCCTGCGCAAAATTATAGGGCAGTGCTTGAGTAAATCTATTTTTCAGAGGGATGGTGTTTCAGAGGATTACGACAAACATAATCCAGAGCACAAGCAGATATATAAATTTATAAGGACTCTGTTCAATGCCGCTCAGCTTACTGCTGAATGTGCCATCATAACGTTGGTTTATCTTGAACGCCTACTTACTTATGCAGAAATAGACATAACACCGGCCAACTGGAAACGTATAGTACTGGGAGCTATTTTATTGGCGTCCAAAGTTTGGGACGATCAGGCGGTGTGGAATGTGGATTACTGTCAAATACTGAAAGACATCACGGTGGAAGATATGTAAGTCTATTTTCAATTACGTTTAGATTATTGTATTTTCTTTTTTTGAAAATAATTATTGTAATTTCTAATTAGGAACGAATTAGAGAGACAGTTTCTGGAGATGCTGCAATTTAACATAAATGTTCCTTCGAGTGTGTATGCCAAATATTATTTCGATCTTCGTACACTCGCGGAAGCGAATGAATTAACATTCCCTAGCGAACCACTTAGTAAAGAAAAGGCGCAGAAGCTGGAAGCTATGTCCAGAGTTTACGAAGATAAGGTCACAGCCGAGGCTCTACGTACCGGTATTAAAAAGTGGTCCAGCTTAGACAATGTGTGCATAGGCGGACCTAGACGTAGCATTGCTATTTTATCCTAAACATATGTATGGATATAAACGGATGTAAACACACGCAAGGTTACTGCTCCGATTTTAAATGGAGGTATGTGAAATTTTGTAAAGATATCATTGTTACCGATCGATTTTAATGATTTTTGAAAGAGATTGTTTGGATTCTACCAAACATTTGTGTTATACTTCTGTTTAATTATTGTGGAATATTTGATGTATTATATACATCTCTTGGCAAACTGTTTTTACATATTGTCTAAACTAGATGTAAAAATATCGTATGTATACCGTATGTACGGCTAAGAAAGATGTACCATAATGGAAGAATTTCCATTGCAAGTATGGTTTGCAATAACAATCTTAAACCTAATCGTTATAAATATACTTTCAAATTTAGACGTTTCTCAATTCTTTATAATTTCCAATAATACATGTATAATTTGTATTATTTTTGTTATTTGTATTAAAGAATCATAATCACTCCGATAGAGAAATTTTATATTGGCCTTCTTTCTAGGTACAGTTTCTAATCACTCTCTCTTTTTTATTAATTTTTTTATAACATTAATTATGAAAAACTATAAATATTAATCTTATTAATTTGTCGATAAATATCAATATATTTCTGTTGATTGTGTGCAAAGATTCTACTGTCCGGGACCTTATAATGTGGATATGACAAAGCATACGAGAATGTGAGGCGTATTGAAACAAAGGGTGAGAAAGAAAAAGTTTTTAGTCGTAGCATTATCTGTACTGTCCTTATGGGAGAAAATAACTTGTGATATATATTAGTCAACTATTCATTATCCAAAGCATTTTATATATTGACTGAATTTAAGAATCAAAGTTATGGCTGATTTACTAATAACATTCTAAAAGACGAAAATATATATTATACATGTTTCAAATTAAAGATCGATATTTGTTAGTAACGCTACGTAATTTATCGAGATAATCCAATCCGAAATTTACAAGCCAATGCTGTAATGCATGTCACCTTAATATATATGTCCAAATTATTTTTGAATATATTAATATATTTTTTTGATTTATCTATCTTCTCACTGTCATGTACATCGAAGGATTATTATGAGAAAAAAGTTATTCAGGATTTAGAAAATGAATCATACACATTTTTAGTATATACGATCTGTTCTTTATCGATGATCTCTCTGAACTAGTGTTCATACGAGAATGCAATAAATTAAAGTGAAACAAATATGATTTGTTTCTCTTCAATTTATTGCACCTGCTGTCAGAAAGTTCTTCAATAAAGAACGAGCCTATAATATTTCTAATGTACTTTCTTTTGATACATTTTTGTAACATTAGTACAAAAACCGTTTATTGGTTTTTATTTATTTAGAATTATTAGTATTATTAGAATTTTTTTAATCAACAAATGTACAGCATAACAATTTATAAACAAAAATTTTGACACTTAATTCAATATATCGGATTTGATATAGATGATTTATGTAATTTGAATAATAGTACATAGCAAGAACACCATTTACAATAAATATATTATAATAACGTAAATATTAGCAAATCAGCCTTTATAGCTTATTAAGAATGAAGAGCACGATAAATTAGAGTCCGAATAATTGCTTTTATATGGCGCTACTTCCATGGATTTATAACTTTAGATAATGCGCGAGATAAGGGTAAGCCATGATATCAGGCTGCATCTTTTCTCTCTTATAAAACTACTCAGTCTGGTGCAAGGTTATTCACATTATTAATAATAGAATTTCTTTTTAATCGATCTATTCTATTACGATTATTGGAAAGAAAGTTAATTCGATATCAAGTTCACGTTCTTTTTATAATGCAATATGCATTAATTTTAGATACTTTACAGATAATATATTGAGTAAATTCATGAATCTTATTACAAAATTGCATTTTTATGGCTATAAAATTGCTATAAAATATTTAAATCTCACAGCTATGTAAAGTATTTATTTCGTAAAGCTTGCAATTAAATCTTCCAAAGATCATCCAGAAACATGATTACTAAGGAAAAAAAAAAGAACTTAGAAGTTGTATCATATTCACATTTTACTATATGACAAGGATATTAGAATACCATTAATGTACTATTAATATAATCGTGTATCATACGTGCTACTAATTGACTTATGTACGATATAATTTAATATTTTGTACCTACCGGTTAGAACTTTAAATATAAGATAGTCTTATATATTGTATGACTGGTTACGTCTATAAGAATTAAAGTGTAATCTGAAGTTCCGTTGGATTTTCAGAATGCCGTTGATGGAGGAAGAATAATTACAATTTATTATTATTTTTATATTTTATTATATGAAAGTCAGAGTATTGTAACGATCATATTTATAATAGAACGGCTGTAAAGTCCAATGTACATGGGAGGAAACGAAATAACGTGCGTTTGTCAGCTTTTAACGTATAGTATATGCTGGATGATGAGTGTAATGTAACATATTTGCAATTTCTGTCCATATTATAATTTTTCATTTTGCCTGTCCGACAAATAAAAATATATTTTTACTGCATTACATATTATATTATAGGTAACTATATACATACACGCTATGTATGCTGCGGAAATATTTATACAACTTTACAGAGCAATTAATACACCATGCGATGCCAAAATGTTGTTAAAATTATAATGTATAGACAGTTGCACATAACACACACACTCACACACGAAAAGAATATGTACTGTACTGCGGTTTCCGTTCATTTTTATTACATTTTAATTTTCCGACAAAAACTAGATCTTTATAGAATTTTCACGCGCTATTTTTATAAATAGATATTCAGTATAAAGACAATCTTCGAGTCTTATTGCGTCCTGTAAATAAATTGCCGAATTCGTATAAGATTCGTAAACGTATGTATCATAAACCGTACCACTTTGTTAGTAGTTACCCGAGCACTGGAAAAAAAAACATTTGCGCTTGAAGGTGATGTTTCGTAGAGGGTCGCCTTTAAGTCTTCCATCCTAGCGTCTGTACAGATTCTCCTATAGTACTTTAACTCCACGTAATAAATATTACGTTTAACATATTATGAGACCGATGCTTTTATAATATGAATTTGTGATAAATAGATATACCAATACATTATATCGTTTTGTACATATATATATATATATATAAATATCTGCATAAAACATATGGCTGTATCTATTTTCATTGTAAATTTTATTGTCCGATTACAGAGGCAGATATTAAGGCAGATATGAAATTTATACTCTATCGCATATTTCACGTTTACTAAAAAAAAAGACAGATAACTAGAAGTCTTTCTTTTTCCTACACTTGCCCGATATTTAAAAAAATGGATGCTTCCGCTTGAACACATAGCGCTTTCATATAATTATCGAATGCAAATGGCATTCCTTGGAAACGTAAAAATATAAATCGTTTACCTTTTCAGCACAGTTTCCCTTTTAACGTTGTATCTTATTCTTATTTACGCGATTAGAAGCATAGAAAGCGATGTGTGCGCGCGTACGTATGATAGTTAATATGTATAAAACGTATGGTTTTTTTTGCAAAGAAATTATTATTGATAATGATTATACACAGAAATACAATTACACGTTATTCAACTGTATACAATAGTTGTACCGAAACCCGATGACTGTATACACAAGCGGAGCCATTCTCATCTTTCCGAAAAGCGCCAAATTTCTAAAAGATACGCAATATTTCTTACAAAAATAAAATTGTGCCTGAAATAATTTATTTAACCAATATGTATATTTGCATTTGTATATTATATCCTATGCCAAAACTTTTAACATATATGTATAGATGTATAAAACGAATATACATGAAATTTTAATAAACATTTCATCTCTCGTAATACAAAAGTAAAACGAACAAAAACTATTATTTCGTCTCAAAAAATTACATTTATAAATATCTCTTTCTAATCAATAAAGTATATCCAGTCAACAAATATATAAAAATCCACCAGACGAAAGTATTGCAAAGAGATGGCATGCTCTATTCCTAATGATTAAGATAATAAAAATGGGAAGTACGTTCTGAATGATTTATTTGATGGCATTAACCATTGTCCATTCGATCAGTAAATACATATTAATATTATATAACGACCCAATTCCCCACATTTTCATATTTTATATATATATATATAAAATATGAAAATACATATTATATATATATATATGACAGAAGCTTCTCTAAAAAATGACAGTCGTATCACTACAAATTCAGTCTAATAGAAACTATGCGAAGAGAGTACTTTTTAAATTATAGGAATATAAAAACTACATAAACTATACAATAGTAACTAATTGAAAGAACATATATTATTTTATATCTATACATTTTACATTTCTTACGCTTCTTTGCGAAACATAAAAAAATGATAGCACAATATTGAAAAGAATAAAAATACAAATTTAGTCCGTAGCAGTCTCATGCTATTTATCACTGTCATACACTCTGTCAAGATTGATAATCAATTGCGATAAAAACTTATTATCGCACGTCGTACGTTGGCATTTTCTTCCTTACAATCTATCAAAAAGAAATTCATTTAGGGGGCGAACCGCGATACTGTATTACGTCTTACATGTATGACACATTCATCGTAAGCATTATAATACGTTTACTTCCATCTTCGTCTACTACGGGCGTAGAATCACTGCAGGATATTTAATTGTCCAGTGTTTGTCGCGTAAACCATCCCTTGGCCCGGCTGCGGAGCCCATCTAATGCAATTTAGACTGAGGTAACTGGAAACCTCCCGGCAGTTTTGGAACAACTCCCGGATAAGCACCATACTTTCCCTGTGACGTTTGATATCCATATCAAACTCGTTTCTCTCCCGAATCCGCCAGTTTTGGATGTGCGGTCTAGAAGTGTTGGCTGTAATATTATTTCGTCTCGGAATACTACTCGTAGAAACGTTATCATCGAGCATCTCGTCAAAGGAATCGTACAATTCCATGGTCGGATCTGTCGACGAAACATTCTTCTCATCGTCGGACTGCTTTTCCATCAGCTTGTAAATCAGAGCCATTGGAAAAGGTCTGGCAGGCACATGAATCCTGCGCGCCAAACCTACCAAAAGATGTTGTTGTGTGGGCGATATCGAGACAGATACCACCGTTTGATCGATATTGGTTGAATGAATCTTTTCTCCTAGTGTTTCCCACTGTAGACTGTAAATACCTAAAATAAAACAAGTTGCATGGCTTTAGTCCTTCGATAATTTAAAATAACCGAGTTGTTATTTTGTTTCCTGTATAAATATAATGAAAAAATTACACAGCAATGCGCAAAGTAATACGTTCATAGTATTTGTTATGCTGTTTTAATATAACGCTACCCCTTGTGAAGAAGTTATTGTTTAAAAATATCTTCCTGCAAGATTATTGGTGTGAAAAAGATGCGATACAAAAATAAGAAATTATCCCTTCAAGATAAAAAAAAGCGTTAAATACACGTGCGTTGAGAATATATACGTATGTGTATATACTTCATCAATAATCGAGATCAATACGCATTTCTTGCTTACCTAACGTAGTCGTAACATTAATACGACCCGACTGTAGAAGCGTCGCTAGTAATTTTCCGTCTGTGGATATATCAATACTAGCATCGTTATGAATCTTACATTCGCGCACCACAACGTTTTTCTCAGCTGAAAAATTATATTGGCATGTATAAACGTATACAGAAAACGCGTATAATTATAATAAATCTATATTTGACATTTTTTACTAACAGTCTGTAATATCAGGTATGTCACCATTGGAGAAGTCCCATGCTT